CTCGAGGCAATTACATGCCCCGAATCCGATCTATGGCTCGAAGCCATGAAATCTGAAATGGAGTCTATGTACACAAACCAAGTCTGGACCTTGGTTGATGCGCCCGAAGGGGTAAAACCCATTGGATGCAAGTGGGTCTTCAAAAAGAAGACAGACGTAGACGGGAAGGTTCATACCTTCAAAGCTAGATTGGTAGCAAAAGGTTATAGACAAATCCACGGAATTGACTATGATGAAACCTTTTCTCCAGTTGTTATGCTGAAATCCATTCGGATAATGCTTGCGATTGCAGCCTATTACGATTACGAAATTTGGCAGATGGATGTCAAGACGGCTTTCCTTAACGGGAACCTCAAAGAGGATGTTTTCATGACACAGCCTGACGGTTTTCAAATTGCTGGTCAGTCTGCCAAAGTGTGTAAGCTGCAACGTTCAATCTACGGATTGAAACAAGCATCTCGGAGTTGGTACATACGCTTCGACGAAACCATTTCCAGTTATGGTTTCAAGAAGAACTCTGACGAATCTTTTGTATACAAGAAGGTCAGTGGGAGTGTAATAGTATTCCTAATCTTATATGTCGATGACATATTGTTAATGGGTAACGATATTCCCGCTCTCACTTCTGTAAAGACGTGGTTGAGCGAGAACTTCTCCATGAAAGACTTAGGGGATGCTAGTTATGTCCTTGGCATATGAATCTACCGAGATAGATCAAGAAAGTTAATAGGTCTAAATCAAAGTACATATATAGATAAAATCCTTGATCGATTTAGCATGTCTAACTCAAATAAACGATCTTTACCTATGACACCTGGCACGGTTCTTTCCAAGAGCCAGAGTCCTTCTCCTCCTGAGCAGAAGGACTCATGATGAAGGTTCCATACGCTTCTGCGATTGGATCCATCATGTACGCCATGATTTGTACTAGACCTGATGTCTCATTCACTTTAAGCGTGACCAGCAGATACCAGAGAAGTCCAGGAGAAGCACACTGGACAGCGGTCAAGAACATCCTCAAGTATCTTCGCAATACTAAGGATGCATTCCTGGTATACGGTGGTGAGGAAGAGCTAAAGGTGGTCGGTTACACTGATGCTAGCTTCCAAACCGACAGAGACGATTCAAAATCACAAGCAGGATATTTGTTTTGCCTGAATGGGGGAGCTTTTAGTTGGAAGAGCTTTAAGGAGGATACAACTGCCGATTTGACTACAGAGGCTGAGTACATAGCTGCCGCCGAGGCAGCTAAAGAAGCTGTTTGGATCAAGAAGTTCATTACTGAACTTGGAGTGGTTTCTAGTATTAATGACCCTATCTCGTTGTTTTGCGACAACACTGGGGCCATTGCACAGGCAAAGGAACCGCGATCTCACCAGAAAACCAAACACATTGTACGACGCTATCACATCATACGAGAAATCGTAGATAGAGGAAATGTGATGATTTGCAAAGTAGATACTGACGACAACATAGCCGATCCCCTGACCAACCTTCAGGAAAGCTAAAGCATGAGGGTCACACTAGGTCCATGGGCAATAGACCAATGCCAGATTGGCCATAGTGCAAGTGGGAGATTGTTGGAGTTGTGCCCTGATGGCCAACTGTTTATCGTTATTCTATCATGTATAGGGAAATATAATATGTTTACACATCTCATGCTAATGTAAACAAATATTATATTCCTAGATTTATATTTAAAGATGTTTATCAGATAGTGTTATTCTGCTGATGAGACTAACATCTTGAAATAAATATTTATCTGAATGTCCATAGTCGAGTATTAGCGAGAGTGGGATATCGGTAATGCATGTGAGACTAGTGTGTGTTGGATGTTTTGACTTAGTCTCATAGTCAGTGACGGTGTGTTCGCATCCGCACATGGGCAGATATTATCTGGAGATAATAGGATGCCGGACTGACCCATCCTAAAGATGTTCCTTGAACTTTTAGTTCATGCTCTAAGCATCTTTAGCGCGACCACGGGTGTAACTATCCTTCGACTTGAAGTATTACGTTTTCTGCATATGTGAACCCGCATACTTTGATGCATCGTCCTAAGTCATATGAAATAAGGATGGTATACAGGCTTTGTTTTGGGTATGCCGCAACGCGTATTCAGAAACGTAGATTACGTACATAGGATTTGTCACTACTCTTTTTAAAAGAGATTAACGTCTTATGGGGCCCACTGATAAGTCATGACTGAGGAAATTGCATGGCCATGCTGAGATGTTTTTATGACGTCTGTTCCTATTAGTCAGACTTGATAAATCAGTGAATGACTTAATGGATACAAGCTGGATTTTATTAATCCCTTGCATTAAGTTTAGACATTGAGACAAAGGGATATAGTTACATGGAGTCTGAGTCGTGGAAAGGTTTTGACGGTGCAAACGTCTTAACTTATAATCTGGGGGAAATAATGTGTTGCTAGATACCGCTTATTGCTTATAGTATTGGTGCAGAGCCAATACTGTGGCCAGCTTTATAAGTGCCTATACGGGTCACACACTTTGAACAATTTAAGGAGTAGAATTAAACAATGAGATAATAAGTAATTTGTATATTTGTAAAATAGTAAAATAAAATATTTTGGAATATAATATTATATATATATGTAAAACATTCGGTGATATATTTATATATATAAATACCGAAATATATATATATATATTATATGTTGAATATTTTATTTTGGTTTGTCATTTTAATTATGAAAATAATTAATTTGACATAAAATATTTAAAGTATATTTGTATACTTGTTTAAAAATGATATTGATATTTTTATTTAATTTAAAATTAATTTTATATTAATTTTTGGTGTCAAATAAAATACCAAAAATTTTCGGCCATGATGAGATTGTAAGGAACAAAATTTTCTTAAGTTGACATGTGATACTAATAAAGACAAATTGCCTTTTGACTTTGTTTTTAAGGATGTTTGAAATTTAGTGTATTATTGATTATTAATAATTCACAACATTAAAAAACATAAAAAGGGGTTTTAGTGTGTGGTTTTTCGGCCAAAATTTCTAGTGGGAGAAATTTTATATTTGGTTCCATTAATATCATTTTGTGTATAGAAAATATTTATAATATTTTCTAAATATTATTAGAAATATTTTCTATAGAAATATGCAAGATTATTTTTATCCCAATTTTAATCTTTATATTTTATACTACTATAATCTTTACTAGCATAAAGATTGTGGTAGACTCCGGCGTTGTTCGTGTGTCAATGTTGGAGACCGGACGCTTGAACGGTTACGTTTGCACTTTCAACGCTGTTCCTACAACTTCTTCGTTTTTACCGCTTACGGAGAAAGTACAAATTTCTTACTACTATAAGTTTTAGTACGTCATTCTGGGCAAGATAATCATGTTAGGATGTTAAAATTTTTATATTCCGCTGCTTATCCTTGCATGGTTACCTTTCATAAATATGGTTGGCTAGACTATTTTTCTTAACTCATAGACAAGCTAGATAAATAATATCCAAAGATTAATTAATAAATTGGCCAGATCTATTAATTAGTGAATCTCATTTTAGACCATTGAATCAAATTAATCAAGTTACTAACTTAATTTTAACGATTAATCATTAGCCCATACCCTTAATTCAATTCATACCTAAGTATAAATTTAGCCACTAAAAGCCATTAGTTCACAATTCAAACTAAGTATAAAAGATAATTTTATTAATAAAAGAAAAGTTTACAAGAAAGCTTACAGATCTTGATGAACTGAATACAAGGCTCACAAATCTTCAAATCAACACTCTAAGCTTTTCTAGAAGGACTCTCAAACTAAAATAAGGTGAAAAGTGGAATTCTTGGAGTGATGGGGAAGGAAATGGCCGAATGGGGTATTTATACCCGAGCAGTCATCACAGGCGGGCAGACAGGCGGCCGCCTGTCAGCCCACCACTGCCAACAAGGGAAGCTTCTGGATCGCCGATGTTTCGAGAATCAACGACAGGCGGTCACGCAGGCGGGCGCCTGCTAGCCCGCCAGAGCAAATTTTCCCCGCCTGCGCGTGTGTTCGCCGCCGAAACCTGCTTTCGCCATTTGCTGATGCGTGGCAGGCGGTCTGGTAGGCGGCCGCCTGCCTGGTCGCCTGTCGACACTCGGCTTCTTATCAGTTGTTTTGCTTCAATTTTGAGTCTGAACACTTTTCTCTCTTTCTCCAACTTCAAATTCCATTCCAGGATGAAAATATTACTAATTTGTTGTTGAAATCAAACAATTTTTATTTTTCTTGGCCCATTCAATTTTACTACTCAAAAATATAGATATATGACTTTTAATCGAAAAATTATTTCTTATTAAGATGAAAAATTATAAAAAATATGTTAAATGCGAGGATAAAATTATATATTAAACGGCTTTATCAATCTCCTCACAATTAAACTTTGCTTGCCCTCAAGCAAAACAACTCAAGTAAGAAAAGGAATGACATGATTCGCTGTCAAACTCATAACTCTTGGGGACAACACCAAGTTAATAATCATATATCTTTCTCTTACTTTTACCAATTCCTTGACTTATTTTCTTTCTATTTAAAAAAACTAACTTGTTTCTTAACTTTTTAGGAGATGCACAAGATTTCATTCTCTAACCAATTCCCAAAGGATTAAAAACTTAGTAGCTTTTGGACTTAGAGAATTACCTCCTCTGTCATGACTTAGGTAAATCCGTGAGTATCCCATAAATGTCCTTATGATATTATTATTTATGATTTCCTTTGGACAAAGCTCCGTGGGAGATAGAATACTTACTTATAATGCAAATAGAGTATCGAGATTGTGGGTTTATCCCATTTTATTTGCATACTTGCTCCCTCACCTTATGCGATTCACGGGAGAAGCAGAGCTCCTTTGCGGAGATAGGATTCCCAATTCATCATTTAAGCGCAATCTCAATAGCCATCAAAACTTTTTTTTTTATGACGGAGGAGAAATTCCAAAAATCCAAACTACTAGTTATTAATCCCTAACTTTCTCAACCATTAAACCCACTTGTGCATCACTTAAAGGATAAGAAACAAGTTAATTAGTTTAAATAAAAGAAAAATAGCAAGGAAGAGAAAGAATAAGAAAAAAAATATGACTACAACTTAGTGTGTGTATCAAAAATTACGAGAGTGAGACAACAAATCATACCTGATACTCGAACTCTACCTCCTCACACTTAAATCGAACTACGTCCTCGTAGTCGAGATGCAAGAGGTGAGTCAAGAACAGGGGAGACATTCCTCCTCACACTTGAAATAAACAATAAAGTGCAAGCATTAACCATAAAAGTTTGCAAAAATTAGAGTAGCAAAATAAGCGGGCCAAGTCAAAATAAAATATGTTTAAAATCAACAGAAATTAAAATATCTTCACTACTGGTGGCTGGCTCTAGATGAAGGAGCTGGAGGAGCAGACTTCTTACCGAGCAGCATCTCAAGCTCATGGAGCTTCTGGGTGTGAGACTCTAGGCGTTCATTCATCCTCTTCATTTGCTTCTCATGGGCGCTATGGTCAGTCTCCATGATGTCCTTTACGTCTTGTATGCTGGTCTCGATAGCGCCCATCCTCGTGTTCATTTTCATCATCTCCTCCAGGATCTTCTGGAGCATAGTTGCCTCAACACCACTCGACGAGGCTGTGTACGTCCCAGGCTGAACAAAAGAAGAACCCCCAGCCATGAAAGTCTCCGTGGTGGCGAGACTGGAATGGGAGAATGGACGGTGGTATCAAGCACATCAAAGAAATCCAGGGGTGGCTCATCACTCTCCTCTACTCGACGCCTCTTCGCGATCCCCATCTTCGTGAGAGATGTGGTGCTCAGAGGGCGAATGCTCTGGTCAATGGGAAGCAAATTACCTGGTATCTCGGGTTGAAGGGAACGGGCAAGGCAAGTAACAAAGGGTCCTGCCTGAAGAGTCTTCCTATGGCTCTTCCTTTGAAGTAGGAAGAACTGAGCCATGAAGATAGCCAGGTTGACCTGAACCCTTTCTGCCAAACTCCAAAAGATGTATATATCCTTCATGCCAATCCGATTTGAGTTAGTCGGACGACCGAAGAGACCATGTGAAAGCACAAAACTGAGTATCCTCCAGGCGCTGCTCCTCCACTGACAGGTATGCGCCGTGTTCTTGCTGAACGACAGGGAATGCTGCCGCCAGAACTGCTCAAGACTGAACTCTGAAGGTAAGGAATACGGAAGAGCGGCAAAGACAAGGGAGCGTGCCTCCTCCTTAGTGTATATCCCCAAATGACGCCCGAACTCGGCCATGGAAAGGGTGAAGGCTCGACCACTAAGTGAAAACGTCAAGGTGGAATCGGGTCTGACATCAGTTGCATCCTTAATAGGCCGGCCACCATGCAGACACTGGTAGGTGCAAAGAAACTCGATCGTCAGCTCCAAACTAGACTGCTCTGCAAAGGTGAGCAAGTAGCGCCAACGAGAGTCTGCGAGTAGTCCATCAATCTCCTCCCAATGGTTCCACTCCTCTAAGGTCACCTGATCAAGAGAGAGTGGCCCTAGAAGAGTTCTCTTCCTTCCCCATGTGCGAAAACGCTTACGGGGCTCTCCTGATGGCAGGTGCATCTCGAATGCAGCTGGGAGCGTGACATTTAAAACCTCCTCCTCATTCATCTGTAACCAAAACAAAAAACAAGCAATACAAATAAAGTGAAGAATAAAAATTAAACAGTAATGTGAATAGTAAAGCATTGACGGGTTTCCTCCCGTTTAGCGCTAGATTTAATGTCGCTAGCTCGACGAATTCAGCATGATCATCCAAGTTCTTGGAAGTGAAAAACTTCCGTATCCCTTTGAAAAGTTCCTCCGCGGTAAATTTTCAACTGATGACCATTAACCTTGATTCGTCCTCGATGAGGATCATCAATCTCAACAGTACCATAAGGAAAGACCTGAGTGACCGTGAAAGGACCTGTCCATCTAGACTTAAGCTTTCCTGGGAAGAGTTTAAGCCTAGAATTATACAACAACACCTTATCTCCTACATTAAATTCACGATTTGCTTTAATAAACTTATCGTGATAAATCTTCGTACGCTCCTTGAGATATGCATTGTTCCTAAAAGCTAAAGTCTGCCATTCGTCTAACTCATTTAATTGGTAGAAACGCTCCTTCCCAAAGACTAAGTGAAAGGGAGTAGTTCATGTTGGAGTCTTATAAGCAGTCCGAAAAGCCCATAACGCATCATCTAACTTATCGGACCAATCCTTCCTAGAATGCGCTACAGTCTTTTCTAGAATAGCTTTAAGATCTCTATTAGTATTCTCAACATGCCCTTGGGTCTGGGGATGATATGCTACTCCACATCTATGTTGGACCCCATATTTTATTAACAGCTTAGCCATTGGGTCACTTCGGAAATGGGTTCCTCTATCACTAATCAAAATCTTCGGAACACCGAATCTAGTGAATAACTTCTTGAGAAACCTAACTACAATCCTTGTGTCATTGGCCGGGCAGGCTTGAGCCTCAACCCATTTTGACACATAATCAATTGCCACAAGAATATACTTATTCCCTCGAGAGCTTAGGAATGGCCCCATGAAATCAATGCCCCAAACATCAAAAACCTCACATGGCAATATATATTGTTGGGGCATCTCATCTCTCTTAGAAATATTCCCAACTCTCTGACATTGATCACAAGACTTAACAAAACTGTGAGCATCTTTGAAAATCATGGGCCAATAAAATCCACAGTCTAACACTCGACGGGCAGTCCGATTACCAGAGAAATGACCTCCAGTGGGCCCGGAGTGGCAATGCGATAGGATATCGAGGGCTCCAGACTCATTGACACAATGACGCACTACTTCATCAGAGCATATTCGAAATAGATAAGGATCATCCCAAAAGTAGTGCTTAACTTCTGAGAGAAACTTTTTCTTCATGTGATAAGAAAAATCAATTGGTATAACTTTCCCAACAAGATAGTTAGCAATGTCAGCATACCACGGGGTCTAAGTTATGGATAAAAGTCTCTCTTCAGGAAACAATTCTTCAATCTCATTATTACTAAACTGGTCTACTAATCCCGCATCCAACCTAGAAAGGTGGTCGACTGCCTAATTAGTAGAACCCTGCCTATATACAATTTCATAATCAAACTCTTGCAATAATAAAACCCAACATAGAAGTCTAGATTTAGAATCTTGTTTCTTCAACAAATATCTAATCGCTGAATGGTCAGTATAGATAATTATTTTAGAAAGCAAGATATAAGACCTAAACTTCTCTAAAGCAAAAGCAATAGCAAGAAATTCTTTTTCAGTAGTAGTATAATTAAGCTGTGGTCCTGCCAAAGTTTTGCTAGCATAGTAAATGGGCCTGAAGTGGTTATCTTTTCGTTGTCCTAAAATGGCCCCAATTACTAAGTCACTAGCATCGCACATTATCTCAAAAGGTGCTGCCCAATCTGGGGCGGTAAGGACTAGTGCTTCTAATAACTTCTTCTTTAAAGTATCAAAAGCAACTTTACACTCGGTGGAGAAAACAAATTCAGCTTCCTTTTCTAGCAATCGGGTTAGAGAAATCCCTAATAAATCTTCTGTAGAATCCTGCATGCCCCAAAAAACTACGAATATCCTTAAGAGAACACGGATAAGGTAACTTCTCAATTGCCTCAACCTTAGCCCGATCAACCTCAATTCCCCTTTTTGACACTTTATGGCCAATGACAATTCCCTCCTTCACCATAAAATGACACTTCTCCCAGCTTAGGGCTAAATTTGTTTCTTCACATCTTTTCAAAACTTTCTCAAGATTATGGAGGCATTCATCGAAGGTTTCTCCATAAATGGAAAAATCATCCATGAATACTTCCATAAACTTTCTAATAAACTTCTCAAATATGGCTAACATGCACCTCATGAACGTAGCTGGGGCATTGCAGAGACCAAACGACATTCGCCGTTAGGCAAATGTTCCTATTGGACAAGTAAAAGTGGTCTTTTCTTGGTCGGCAGGGTCAACGAGTATTTGAAAATACCCACTCATCCCGTCGAGAAAACAATAATACCCATGCCCAGCTAAGTTCTCCACTAACTGGTCTAAAAAGGGAAGAGGGAAATGATCTTTTCGGGTGGCATCATTTAATTTTCGATAGTCAACCACCATACGCCACCCGGTCACCACCCTGTTAGGGATTAGTGACAGTTATCACTCCCTTTTTAGGTACCACATGAATCGGACTTACCCAGTCACTATCAGAGATGGCATAAATAATACCTGCATCTAAAAGCTTCATGATCTCTTTATTTACGACCTTCCTAAGAATGGGATTCAACCTTCGTGGTTGTTGCGCCATCGGTCTCTTCCCTTCTTCAATAAAAATCTTATGGGTGCAGAAGGTCAGACTAATTCCCTTAAGGTCCTTAAGCTTTCGAGCGATAACATGCCCATAAAGCTTAAGCAAATCTATTATCTTACCTTTCTGCTCCTCGGTTAGGTCGGATGCAATAATGACTGGGCATTTTTCTTCTTCATCTAAGAATGCATATTCTAAGTGGGAAGGTAAGGGTTTTAGTTTAGGAGTAGGTTCAGGTTCACTTTCTTCTTCTTCTTCATCCTCTTCAACCTGAACACCCAAAACTTGCTGTGCATTCTCTTCTTCATGTAAAACCTTATCACACAAATCATATTTCTCTTCTGCTGAATTGGCCATGCTTATAATACCTTCCTCACGTGGACCATCTTCAAACGAAGAGGTGCCAAACCAAAAGTCATCTAAAGCATCAATAGCATTTACAAGATTGCAAGAAACATGTTCTTGGTTTGCTATCCCTGGGAGTCGAAAAGTGCAAACATCATCTCCAACTCTCAGAGTTAGCGAACCATCTGTCACATCAATTAAAGCCTTACCGGTAGCTAAGAAAGGTCGTCCTAAGATAAGTGGAGTTCCCTTATCCTCCATGTCCAAAACAACAAAATCAATAGGAAAGATAAATTTACCGACCTGTACTAATACATCCTCTACATTGCCTAAAGGATAAGTAACAGAACTATCAGCAAGTTGAATACACATCCTAGTAGGCAAGAGTTCTTTTATGCCTAGCTTTTGAGCAACATAAGATGGCATCAGATTAATGCTTGCTCCTAAATCGGCTAAGGCATTTTTAAAAAGCAACATTATCTATGGAACAAGGAATGGTAAAACTGCTTGGGTCTTTTTGTTTCTTTGGCAAATTCTTTGTGAGAACTGCCGAACATTCAGCACTCAAATTGGCAACCACAGGATCAAATCGAGGCTTTTTATTTGCTAACAACTCCTTAAGGATTTTGGCATACTTAGGCATTTCTGCCAAAGCATCCATTAGAGGCAAATTAATGTGAAGTTGTTTTAGCATATCTAAAAATTTAGTATAAGTTAGGTGATCATCTACCCTTTTTAACCTAGTAGGAAAAAGAAGTTTAGTTTTAGGAATAAGTAAATCACCTAAATTATCAGGTTCAGCCTCATCCTTTTTATTACCATCCTCCCCAATCTCTTTATTAATATCTACATTAAGTGGAGTGGGTGTTGGTGGTGTAGGATTGACTAAAACTTTCTCACCTTCAACTAACTTCCTTCCACTTCTTAAAGTTACAACTTGAACATGCTCACGTGGATTTGATTCAGTTGTACTAGGTAAATTTCCTGGTGAGCAGTGGGTGAGAGTGTTACCTAACTGACTCATGTACTGCTTAACATCATGTAACTCTCTTTGAAATTCAGATCTCAATTCAGTTTTAATGCTAGGCAGTTCAGATTTTAAGTCAGATATAGTTTTAGTCAAATCCCCTGACATTTTTTCTAAGGAAGAATTATTCTCATTTGATCTAGCATGTGGTGGAACATAAGTCTGAGAATTACTTCCTTGATTTCTCCAATTACCTCCATTATTATTCCTATTATTATTTGGGCCATCATTTCTCCAATTATTACCAAAGTTTCTTTGATTATTAAAATTATTATTTCGATTACTTTGGTATTGATTATTCTGATTAGCCCATGGTCCTTCATTCTTGCGAGCATATTCCATAAGATTAACATTATGAGAATTAAATTCATCATAAGGACAAGCAGATGTTAAGTGAGAACCCATGCAATTTTCACAAGAAAGGACCAATTCAGAAGATTGTGAATGAGGGGCATAAGAATTGTAAGAAATAGAATTTACACTACCCCTAAGTGGTGGAACTAGATTCTTCTCTAGGTTTTGAATTTTAACGGTTAATGCTTCAATCTGTGCTCTAAGCACAGTTGCTTCATCAACCTCAATTCTTCCTTGAGATGACACCATGAAGTCACTTTATTGATCAATGCCTCATTTTCTTCTGGTGTCATCTCAAGGAAAGAACCACCAGGAGAAGAATAATCAAGTTCCTTTTTACTATCAATGTTTAAGCCATTATAAAAATGAAACATTAAACTAAAAGAATCAATCAATGTGGGAGGACATTTAGTTCTTAATTCTTTAAAACGTTCCCATGCTTCATGAAGAGATTCTCCACTACCTTGACGAAACTGCTGAATTGACATACGAATTCTAGCAGCTGCCGAGGATGGAAAATACTCATTCATGAAGGCCTTATGTAAATCATCCCAGTTAGAAAAATGACCCGCAGGAAAATTATTTAACCACCGTGCAGCTCTGTCTCGAAGGGAAAATGGAAAAAGAGTGAGTCGTATGGTGTCTTTGTCTACCCCATTAATTTTAAAAGTAGAACATGTACGGGTAAACCAAAGAATATGAGCCCTAGGGTCTTCAAGTTTCATTCCACCAATCATGATTACTAGAAATTATTTGTATGATGGCAGGTTTTATTTCAAAAGATGCGGCTGTAATGGCTGGAGTGCCAATACAATCATTTTCTTCAAAAATAAGAATCATAGTATCCAAAACAGTGCGTCTAACTCTATTCTCCTCCCCCATTTCTTGGTTATTTAAATTATTTTGAAAAAGATTTTGATTTCTTTGAAAATTTATATTACGATTAGATTTAAAAAGCCTTTCACGATCTTCACAAAATTGTAAAACTTCTCCAGCACTAGAAGAAAAGTTGTGCATAAAAAAAATAATTAAAATTTAATTTTATTTTTATTTTTATTTATTATTATTATTATATTATTATTATTATTGTTATTATTATTTTTAACAAAAAAAATAACAAACAACAACCGTACCAATCCCCGGCAACGGCGCCAATTGACGAAGCTGCTAGGTATAGCGGTAAGTCAATAAAATTAACCGAGACTAACTCGGGTCGTTTCACAAGGATTGGAAAAAGGAAGTATTTGTTAATTATCTTAAAATTTTACTTCAAACAATTAATTTAGAGCAATCAAGTTCAAAGCAATAGCAGTAATATGAATAATCCAAACAATAATTTAGAAACAGGTATGAATCGAACAAGTATATGGGCTAAGATAATAATTTTAGATTAAATTAACTTCTTAATCAAATTGATTTTATATCATTAACTTATCCATTTTTCAGGCCTTATTAATGTGTCTAAATATGGTTGGCTAGAGTATTTTTCTTAACGCATAGACAAGCTAGATAAATAATCTGCAAAGATTAATTAATAAATTGGCCAGATCTATTAATTAGTGAATCTCATTTTAGACCATTGAATCAAATTAACTTAATTTTAACTATTAATCATTAGCCCATACCCTTAATTCAATTCACACCTAAGTATAAATTTAGCCACTAAAAGCCATTAGTTCACAATTCAAACTAAGTAGAAAAGATAATTTTATTAATAAAAGAACAGTTTGCAAGAAAGCTTATAGATCTTGAAGAACTGAATACAAGGCTCACAAATCTTCAAATCAACACTCTAAGCTTTTCTAGAAGGACTCTCAAACTCAAATAAGGTGAAAAGTGGAATTCTTGGAGGGATGGGGAAGAAAATGGCCGAATGGGGTATTTATACCTGAGCAGTCATCACAGGCGGGCAGACGGGCGGCCGCCTGTCAGCCCGCGATCGCCGACAAGGGAAGCTTCTGGATCGCCGATGTTTCGAGAATCAACGACAGGCGGTCACGCAGGCAGGCACCTGCTATCCCGCTGGAGCCAATTTTCCCCGCCTGCGCGTGTGTTCGCCGCCGAAACCAGCTTTCGCCGTTTGCTGATGCTTGGCAGGCGGTCTGGTAGGCGGCCGCCTGCGTGGTTGCGTGTCGACACTCGGCTTCTATTCACTTGTTTTGCTTCAATTTTGAGTCTGAACACTTTTCTCTCTTTCTCCAACTTCCAATTCCATTTCAGGATGAAAATATTACTAATTTCTTGTTGAAATCAAACAATTTTTATTTTTCTTGGCCCATTCAATTTTACTACTCAAAAATATAGATATATGACTTTTAATCGAAAAATTATTTCTTATTAAGATGAAAAATTATAAAAAATATGTTAAATGCGAGGATAAAATTATATATAAAACGACTTTATCAGCAATATTGGTCTTGCGAACATATACCGTGCAGAAATTCACTCAAGTGTAATTGTTGGTTCATTATTCAAAAACGAACTACATAGTGGATTTTGAGGATGTAGAAGGATTACCCCACCTTCGAACCTCGTTAAAGTTTGCGTGTCTCTCTCTCTTATCTTTACTTATACTTGCAACTATATTAACTGTGAAAACTAACCCATCCATATTGATTACTGCTCAATTACCCACCAACTTTCGCACACAATCTAAGGTTCACAAGAACTCTAGATTAAACACTCATTTTCACGTTTTCAAAAAGAAATGAAAAAGTTTTCAAATTGTAACAAAGTCTATTCACCCCCCCCTCTAGACTTTGTATCTCACCACTTTGGGACAACCAATTGGTATCGGAGCACACTTCTAACTATCTACACTTAGATTAACGAGAAGCGATCATAATGGTGAACAATATGGATCACGATTTGCCCAAACTTTCTCTTCTAGGTTATGATGATTGGAAGATCATGATGGAAGCACACCTCTACGCCCTACATGATTGCATGTGGATAGTGCTTGAAGATGGACCCTTGAAAATCCAAATGGAGAATCCTGAGAGGAGAAGATAGAGATTGCAAAAACCCAAGGAGAAATGGGATGATAGAGATTGCAAGAAGCACAATCTGGACAACGTCGCCAAAGCATCCATCTTCAAGACACTTGATCCCATCACCTTCTCCAAGATCAAGCATCTCAAGACTGCCATGGAGATATGGCAAGGTTTTGGGAAGCTGTGTGAGGGATCAGAGGATCTAAGAAAGCAGAAGATAGAAGTCCTGCTTGAGAAGTTCAAAAGCTTCAAAATGCTTCCCGGAGAATCATTTGATATGCTGGATGAAAGATTCCACAAAATCTTAAATGATGCATCACTTAACCACGTTCTTTCTCGCAAAGAAAATAATGTAAGGTTACTAAGGTCTCTTCCAACTGAGTGGTACACGAAAGCCACATCCATGGATGAAGGAAGAAATCTGGATGACTACACTATCTAAGGTCTCCTTGATGAGCTCAGAACCTACGAGCATGAGCTGAAGAAGAAGAAGAAGGAAGAACAAGTCACTCCATTTCCCACAGCACTGATGACAACTCCTAGAGTCCCATCCAGCGAAGGGACATGCCCAAGAAGCTGTGACACTCCTTCCTCTAGCCAGCCACCAAGCTCAAAAACGGAGAACTACGATGAGGAATTTGTCATGATGGTCAAACAAATCTGGAAGTTCAAGAAGTTCTTCAAGAAAGCTGACTCAGTTAGAAGGCCATCCAAGGGAAAGCCACAGGTAAGTGACTCCCCTCCTGAATCTGAATTATGTTATTACTGCAGGAAGCCTGGCCATTGGAAGTCAGCATGCCTGTACCCAAAAGTGGAGAAGTACGGAGAAAGGGAAAGGAACGAGAAGAAGAAGAAGGCAATGGTTGCAGCTGAAAGTGATGAGTCATCCAGCTCAAGCTCGGATGAAGAAGCCCTCATCTGCATGGAGCGCAGAGCTGAGAAGTCCAACCATGAGGATCGGTGGACCATGTCAGAAGATGACACTCTCTGCCTAATGGCCAAAGATAATGCTGATCAAGAGGTAACTTCACAAACCTCCTGTTCATCTTCTTATGAAAGCATACCAACTTCTGAAAATCTTTTTGACCAGTTCAAAAAGATGATGGAAGATTTTGAGGAAATAAATCTCAAACACTCATCCTTAACAGAAGAGAACAAGCTATTGAGTGAAGAGAATCTCAAGTTGGCTGAAGGTCGGAAAAGTCAACTAAATGAGATCACTCAACTTAAGGCTGAGAATGAATCTCTTTCGGAAAAGATGAAATCCCTCAACAAGGAGCTGGGGATACTGAAGTCTAAAGAAGCAGTGGATAAGCTTCTTGAAACGACCAAACATAAGGGTCGTGAAGGACTTGGGTTTGACCCCTCGAGTTCCAAAAGGAAAGGGAGAACAACCTTTATCCCTCCTAAACCTACTGCGAAACCCAATAAGCAGAAAGGAAATGAGAAGGAAAAACCAACAGAAGTTCCCAAAAAGATAGTCCCTCCTAAGAACTATAGGAAGCTGGACACACCTCAAAAAGGAAACAATTTCAGAAGAAAACCTTCTAACCCCCACTAAACACGAGGCTATACTCATTATGGGGTAGATAGGAGTTTTTCCAAGAAATTCTAAGTGGAGAACTAAGCCAAGATATA